TCACGAATTGACCGCGGATCGCTCAATCACGCGAGTCCCGAATTGACCGCGAATCTCCTGATTCTGCGAGTCCCGAATGACCGCGAATCTCCCAATTCTGCGAGTCCCGAATGACCGCGAATCTCCCGATTACGCGAATCCCAAAAGAACGCAACACTCAAAGGCGCCCGGCGCCACGACGCGATCATGTGAAGCCCACGAAGAGCTCATCTCGTTACTCACAATCCGAACGCAAACAACTTTTACGACGCGAATCGTTACAACACGACACGATTTAATAGACGAAGACTACAGAATTACACGCACGCTGACTGTCGGCGACCGCGCGTCCGGATTCCCGAGACGGGCAATTACGACTACTTTTCGGCCGGGCCCTCCCACGGTATTTCTCTCGATCTACAATAGCTAAAGCGGATTTCACAAGTTTCCGCGGCACAACGCGACTCCCGGGATGGCCTCGGTATTGCTACGATCTTACTTCGCGGTGCTTGTGCAGTGGCCTTACAATAGGTCGTTCGCTCGTTTGCCGGCAGCTTATCTCAGCCGCAGGGCTGGATGGTACCTCTCTGGACGACGGCTCACACGACAGTGTTCCTCGGCCCGGCGAGACCACGCTGGACCCGCGCGCGCCAGTATCCCTAGTCCTCTCAAGTGCTGCGCCCTGGCATAATAACGATCTTTCTAGCGATCGCCGCGCCTAACTAAGGCGCCCGTCGCAGCTGCTTCCATCCGCCGGCGGCAGTTTCAAATCCGCTTACGTGAGACCAGCTGTCCAGGCCGCGACTTACTGCCCGGTTACTCGACGGCCAGGCTGGCCAGGCCATGGCTCGTCAACCGGTGGCGGAATGCGGAATCCCGGTGGAAGCCCCGTTCCTCGACGGGGACTTTCGTCGGGGCGCTCCCCTTCCCGGGTCCTCCGTGTCGGGGCTGCGACTCGGTAGTGCGGGCTAGTTGTGTGCCTTGACAGGCCTTCTGCTGTACCGGCCATGGACTCCAGCGTGACCCACCCGTCGGCCGTCCGTCCTCGTTAGGCTTTCGGCTGTCCACCTGAAAGTCCCGCGGTGCGGCCTACGCCGTTACAATATCATCGTGGCCGTCTGCACCGCACCCTCCCTAACCTATACGCTAGCGCTCCGCCCGCCTTGGGCGGAGGCACCATCCTTGACGCCTTCCTCGGCCGAGCTACCATCCGGGCCGGGGACATGACTTTTGTTACGTCACACCAAATGACACGTCGGTGCTAAATCTTACAGACATTGAGTTTCCAATAACGTTGGATTAAATTAAAATTTTTGAAAATCACAACATCTCCATTAACGTGTACAGCATCGAGAAGAAAACAAGGAACTTGCTATCCTGTCAATACGGGTTACTGATCGAAAGATGGACAGGCATCTAAATCTGCTGTACATGGATGACGACAACGTGGGACATTTTGCATGGATTAAGAACCTATCCCGCCTCGTGAACTCGCAATTGAGCAAGAAAAAGAACGAAAAATACTTTTGCAATCGGTGAGTATACATCATAATAAATAATAAAAATAATTTTTACGTAAAAACTATATAAATTTCTGTAAAATTTGTAATTTATTGCATATCCCCGCAGGGTTCGCAATCTACTACCAATACTATCTTTCTCCTCTCACTTTAACCCTTTGGACCAACGGCTTAACGTCTCTTTTCGAAAGACGGAGCCCAGTTTTCTCCGCACAAGAGCCTATCTTGCACGGAGGAGCGCAGCTATCGAAAAAACATTCCATGCTTCATGGCTCTAGTGGACTCGAACCTGGTTCCTCAGATTACGAGTCTGGCGCTCTACCACTAGACCACACTGCCGCCCACGTAAAAGATATATAAAAAATTTCAATATTTACAGAAGTTTGCACTACTTCAGTTCCAGCGAGAAATTGGAAGCTCACACCATCGACTGTCGGGAGATGAACGACTGCGCGATCAAGTTACCGAGTAATAACGACAAGTAGTGGTTGGCCTTCAAGAATCACAGCAGGAAGGAACGAGTTCCGTTTATTGTATACGCCGACCTGGAATGTACTCTGGAAAAAATGAAAGCGGATCCGGAAACGTTCAGGTACACCTATCAACATCATCACGTATTTAGCATAGGGTACTACGTGCGTTGCTCGTACGACGAGTCGTTATCAATGTATCGGTTTCGTCGCGATAAGGATTGCGTCGCGTGGTTCGCCGAGGAGTTAAGACGTTTAGCTCACGACGTAAAAACTATCTTGTCTACTAATGTACCCATGGCAGATTTCACGCGAGACGAGTGGGAAAAATTTAACAGCGCAACGCACTGTTACGTGTGCGAAAAACCGTTCGAGCCAGACGACGTGCGAGTACGCGACCATTGTCACCTGACCAGTCAATACAGATGTCCCGCGCATTCTAATTGTAACTTAAATTATAAAGATTCGAATTGCCTTCCCATAGTTTTTCATAATTTATCGGGCTACGACGCACATTTTATTATAACGGAAATAGCAACAGCGTACGATGGACATGTAGACTTACTCCCAATTACAAAAGAAAAATACATTTCGTTTACAAAAAATGTTAAAAGCACCGAAAAAATAAAGATAAGAAAACTTGCGTCAAATTGCGATTTATCGATTCATACAAGTTTCTCACCGATAGTCTTGACAAATTGGCATCTTATCTCAGCAAGAATAAACTGCGAATATTGCAACGCAAATTTTGTAAATTATTCTCAGAAAATTTTGATTTGCTGACTCAAAAAGGCGTATTTCCGTACGAGTACATTGACTGCGTCGAAAAGTTGGAGGACTCGTGTTTACCACCGCGCGACTTGTTTTACAGTTCATTGACAGGTGACACCGTATCCGAGAGTGATTACGCGCATGCCGTCAACTTCTGGCAGCGGTTCTCCATTCAAACGCTCAGTGACTACGATTTATATCTCGACCGTTGTCTTGCTGTTGTCCGATATCTTTGAAAATTTTCGCGATAGCTGCGTCGCGAGATATGAACTCGATACGGCGTATTATTACACTCTACCGGGTTTTACGTGGGATGCTATGTTGAACCATACACATATTAATTTTGAACTGCTCACCGACAATGACATGGTCATATTTATCGAACGCGGCAGTTTGAGTCAATGTTCAAACAGATACGCGCTGGTCAACAACAAGTACATGCAGTCGTACGATCCATCGAAACCGTCGTCGTACCTGATGTATTTCGACGTAAACAACCTGTACGGCTGGGCAATGAGTCAACTATTGCCATACGCAGATTTTCAATGGGTCGACGACGTAACCGATTTTAATGTTATGGATGTCGCGTTGGATTCCTCGATAGGCTACATTCTCGAAGTCGACTTAAAGTATCCGTAACATCTTCACGACGCGCACACTGACCTACCGTTCTGTCCGACGCGCGAAAACCACCCAGTAAGCGGCAGGACAAGCTCCTCGCAACATTATACGATAAGAAACGTTATGTCATACATTATCGCAACCTGCAGCAGTATACTCATAATGGTCTCCGTATATCAAAGATTCACTGCATATTGAAATTCGCGCAATCTCCATGGCTTCGCGATTATATAGACCTCAATACAAAATTTAGAACATTGGCCAAGAATGATTTCGAGAAAAATTTATACAAATTGATGAACAACGCTGTGTTTGGCAAAACCATGGAGAATGTGCGCAATCACGTTGACGTGCGACTCGTGACTCATTGGGAGGGTAGATATGGCGCGGAGACAATGATCGCGAAACCAAATTTTCATAGTCGAAGCGTCTTTTCAGAGAATCTAATAGCAATAGAAATGCGAGAACTCGAGGTAAAGTTTGACAAACCAATCTACATGAGTATGTGCATTCTCGATACATTTAAGACATGTTTGTATGAATTTCATCACGAGTACATGTTACCGTTGTATCGCGACAAGTGTAAAGTCACGTACACCGATACGGATAGTCTCATTTATCACATCGAGTGCGACGATGTGTATGATATCATGAAGCGCCACATTAATAAATTTGACACTAGCGATTATGCGATCGATAATGCGTACGGTATCAAACTCGCCAATAAAAAAGTTCCGGGCTTGATGAAAGACGAAAACAACAGTGCGATAATGACCGAATTCGTCGGGCTTAGAGCAAAGATGTACGCCTTGCGAGTGGACGGTGTAACGATGCACCCCCAAATATGCATCGTTCCGGCAGGAACACCACGTCGAGACCACCCAGCCGACCACCCGCGGGGTGAAAAACGGGCACGGTGTGCCCAACGTATTTTTAATTACGCCATGTAACATTAGTCCGCGAACGGACTTACCGCTTACCGCGGCGACCGCCTCACCGCGCCGAGCGGTGCCGAAGGCGGCCGAAGACCGCCAATCGCAATCGCGGCGTCGGGACACCGTAATCACCGATCGTTCCGCCGCACCGTCCCGGCGCTCGCGATTGCCGTCGCTACCCCCACCACGCCGTAACGCCGCCGCGACGCGTATATAAGCCAGCCATCGACCTCGATATACTTAGCAGACAAATTTGATATTTCTTATTATTGATTATTTTAATAGTTTGGGAATCGTTTGGGCAAGTTTAGGAATATAGTTTCATAGTTTAGGAAATAATAGTTTATTTATAATTAATAAAAATTAATTGAATGTATAGTTAGCTGACATAATTTTAAAATCAATTTTTTTCTTTTCAAATCAACGTGAAATCATTTGGGAAACACGTCTGTAATGTTTTAAACATTTGGGAAATAATGATTTTATCTGAAAATCAAGTTACATGTCACATGTGCGATAGCTGGACAGTTTTACCATGGTTTGTGAGTCATCCAATCACAGCTGAGAATGTGGAAAGTGCTGCTAAAGCATAAAAGAAACGTTCACTTTCCTAAAATGGATTCATTATTAGCGCTAATTGTTGCATTTTTTTGGTATGTATAGGTAAAGTTAATTATATTATTTTAGAACTCCACAAAAGAAATATGTAATGCGAAATGTATCATTACGCATAACATATTTGTAATTTGAAATGTATAATTTTTGTATCATTTTCTGTTTAGGTTATTATGCTACATGTAATGCTGAAAGCAGCATATATGCTCAGCAAAGTCCAACCCCACGTCCGTGCAAAATAACGTGAGCCACGTGCTGAGCGGGCAACATCTTAGGTGGCTAACGGGGCAATGGCAAATCCTCCTGGAGTAAAAATGAAAAATATCTAAGGTAATAAAACTTTTATGACACTTAATAAGTATTATACTATTTAACTCCGAAGTCTAATCAACAACAAATCTCAATTTTTTTAGGGCGAAATTGGATATCGGCTTACTAGCTATGATTTTAAGTTCTGTCAAGACTGGAAATGACACAGAGGCAATCCGCCCATTTATGGAGAATATCCATCAAACTCTGTCCGAATTTGTTAGTATTTGTCCCTTTGAAGCAGCTCGGGATGTTCTTACACATTACGAAGTGCTGCAGTGCTCCAGGTCGTTGGTTGTCTTATATTCCGAAGAAGTTTTCGATAGGTAGCTAACGTGTTTTCACATTTAATTAAATTACAAGATTTGCGCGAGTTTTGATAGCTTATTTTTTGCTTTCTCGCAGAATCTTGCAACAATTGAAGTCACCAGTCGCTAATCAACACGCTCGTGCTTTAGTAGTTCTCTTAGACATCTCATAAACAAACACTTTTCCGCCAGAGGTACGGAAATATATAGTTTTATTAACAAGTTCAACAATTGATATGCATACTGTTTTATTAGGATGATGGATCTCTGCAGAGAATCGCACTTAGCCTGCAGGAATCTTTCGGGGAGAATGGTGCGCTTCAAACGGTCGGGGCTATAGTGGCACTCGCGGCACGGCCAACATTTCCTCTTTTGCCGTCACAGAGGGCTAGATTTGTTCGCTATGGTTACATAAACAATGCGCAAAGTAAAATTAGATAATAATTAATTTAATAATTTAATAATTTAATAATAAATAATTTAATAATAGAGAAATTAATTTTGTCTTGTTAAGATAGGTGTCACACTGTGAAACGAAGAGTTCTAAAAAAGCATTGTGGAATTACCTAGAAAAATTCGACTGGAAAATATTGGCTTTTTTTCATATGGCATACAGACGTCGAGGATAATCAGTGTCAGTTATCATTAAACATAGTAGGCTGGTAAGTTATTTGTATATAAAAAATTTTAGTCCTAATTATATTTAAATCCATACAATAATGAAAATATATAGTGACTAATGTCAAAACAGCCTATAAACTTACGCACATTTAATTATTTTTCGATTTAGCGATCGAATACTTATTTTGATGGAAAATTTCTTCAGCTTTTTAATGCCACTTTATTTTTTTGAGCTGTGATTATCAGTTTTTGTTATACAGTTAAATAACGTGCAGATGTCTTATTCATAACAAATTCAATTTTGGCTCATCCGCTCTTTTGGCATTAATCACGCGATGTATATCCAAGAAACAAAATCAAATATCATCAAATATAAAATAAAATCTACCATTCTAATTTTGAATTATAGTAAAACATGCATAAAATTCGAATTTTGTTGTAAAAGAAGGAATTGATGACGTTAGGTTATTTAAAGTCTAGTAGAAGGTACAAAAGTTACGTGCATTCCCAAATTTCGTTTCCAAACTTTGTTTTTATTTTTTTCAATAAATAACAATTTTCGGAGAATTATATACCGACCGGAATTTTAACGGATTTATCGACACAACCCAGATCAGACAAACAATAAAAACAAAAGACTATTGAGACTATGTAATTTCTTCTGTTCGTTTTCTTCTTCTGTGTTTAGTATTATTATAGAACTCATTATTGAGTGAAAGTGTTCTGGATGTTCAAATAAAAAAGAAAGTATATTGTATTGAATGTATCACCGTGAGAGTAAGTTTTCGTTTAAAAAAATAGTGAAATAGTGTAGTAATCTTTGACAATTTTCCATGATCATAACACATCTGCCACATTAAACAATAATAATCTGGATCCATCCCAATAGGAAAATGGATAAAATTTCTAAAAGATATTTGCTCAAATATTATACACTAACTGCATCACGAAAGGAAAAAATTTCACAATAATTGCATTAATAATGTGCTTCGCCATAACGTAGCGGTTTTGTCGGGATAAAATTTTTAAATGATATTTGCCCAAAAATTGATATATTCAATTTAGAGTATAATTTACGCACAATTATTGTGTTATATTTATTATAATTGTGTAATATTTTATGTCATAACATTTCAAAATTATAATTTCAGAATAATTGTACATTTTAAAGCATACATATTGATTTATTTTATTTCACAAAATATTCTAAAAATAATAAAACTTAAATACATTTATAAATTATTAGAGGTAATTTCTTTCCAAATTTAAATTTGCCATCATTCCACTAAGATTTGCCATAATGCTGCTAGTTTGCTGAAATACTATTTAGAAATAAATTGTGCAAATATTTATCAATATTTGATGAAAGGTCTAAATTTCTACATGTATTGTTGCTAAATATAGAGACATAATTGTAGCATTCCAAATTTCATTAAGATTTTGTCATATAATTTATAAATGTTTTCCTATCGGGGCATTCAATAAGTTATTTTTCTGATTGCTGTAATGAATATTGAGAGTATGTAATATTTTTTTTTCATTTTTTTTAGATGGGACGGCCTTGTAGTGTTCCTAACCGAGAAGCAATTCTGTTAATTCAGAAATATATGCAATATTTTAATACCAACAATTTTCCTTCGAGTTCTGCAAAAGTTTGGAAAGACATGAGCAAAGAGCTCAATGGAAGATGGAAACCGCATTCAGTTTATACATACGTAAGAGATAATAAAAATGGAAGTCTCGAAGCAGCTCGTCAGAATTTGGGTATAAATATCCAACCTCCAAGACCACTACCATCGAAGATGATATCATTGATGAACTATCAGAGGATTCTGAATCGGACAAATCATCTTATCATGATGACGAGAATGGAGATTCTGACATTGGTGTTGATTCGTTCCCTCTAGTTCTTTCACCCACTGAGTGGGAACAGATAAAGCCCGATCAGACTTCTAATCACCAACAGAAAAGATTGAAATCATGGGTTTGACCAAATGTAATCACAAAAGCATTTTGGAATATGTACAAATTCCCATGTGCTTTTCTGGGCAAATGGTCATACGTACGCATAGAACAGGATGAAAATGAAAATTATGCCGTTGGATCTTTCTATTTGAAGTTCAAAGGATTATGTAAAAGCAAAAAATGTAATAATAAAATTGTTGGCGTTGCCTACAAAAAACCGGTCAACGGAGAACTACATTTGATAATCACAACGCGTGATACTCGTAATGATTATCATGAAGAAGTTAAGAGACCATTAAATGGTCCTGAAAGGAAATTAATTGGACGAAAATTAAAACGAAGAAGAGCCGCAGGATATCGGCAGAAATTACTTGCGGAGAATATGAAATTTGGAGAGAACGAACCTCCGTGGGTACAAAAATGTCATATTTACAGACAAGCAAAGATGGAACACAACAAGGAAGATCTTGGCATAAAATCAGGCGTGAAAATAAACATGATAACTAGCATTCGCAATATGTTACAAGACATCCGATACAGCAATGCTATCCGCGAGATTGGAGCAAAGAAGTTTTACGTTTTTTACTGCAGCCCAGAACAAATTTTCGTAGAAAAAGAATACTGCCGAGTAAGAAAAGGATTTTCTCGAATTTGTCTAGATGCCACGGGTAAGGTGGTAAAAAAATTTGAAATTATCCCAGGGCGAAAAATTGGCCACATATTTTTATACACGATTACCATCAATTTTGAGGGTAAAACTCTTCCTGTGTACCAAATGTTGTCGGAAAAACATGACGCAGTTTTCATCACATTTTGGCTTCAGGAATGGATACGAGCATGTAAGGCGACAATACCAGACGAAGCTATGTCTGATTTAGGGCGTGCTTTGTTACTGGCTATGTGTGAAGCATTTAACCGCATGACACTAAAGGAATATGTTGACGTTCTTTTCAAATGGGCAACGAAAGACAGATATAAAACACCTCGGCCATTTAACACTCTAATAAGAGCGGATGTGGCTCATCAAATGGCTGCTGTCGCCAGGTGGAAATGTATTAAAGATCTACGCCATCCTATTGTCAAAGGTTTTTATCTTCGTACAATTGCTTTAATGATTGACTGTCAAACAGTGCAAGAGTTCGAACATGTATTTCGACTGACATGCATCGTTGCACTGCATCTCGACCAAAATGAAAGTATAATGGAGTCAGGAAAACAAGTGTCGGTTTTTGAAGCTAGACGCCTTCTGGAAGAGTACATGGCTGAACATGGACAGATTATCGAAGAGCTGGAGACGTCGAGAGAGAACGTCAAAATTGATGAGGAAGTTGAAAATACTTTGAATTCAGTTGAAGAAAAAGATGATAAGAATTTAACCGTCACTCATCAATGGATTAGAAGTCTTTTTTCAATGTCCACACCTCCTGATCAGCAAAAGATGGAGTGCAAGGCTGTAAACGGTTTTTATTTTTCGGAATTCATACAGTCACTTGAACGAATTGCCAAAGAGTTTCCTATATGGACTGCAGCAGCCCTCCCTGGCAAACAAACGCATGCGTCGACAGCTTCGCAGGAAGGATATTTTGCTGAAGTAAGGCAAAGAATCTTTGAAGGTATCCCTTTGCCGTGTTCTGCAAATCGATTTTTGAAAGAGCATATTGATGACTTGCATTCTGGCACTAATGAGGTAGCAGCAAAATTAAAGCATTTTAATCACAATCACAGGCAGCCGGTACCATCTCCACATACACCAGAGAAAGAATCAGCCTCGCAAAAACCTATTCGAGCTCCTAGTTCATCTGTTAAAGAATCGGAATTCCCGCGAAAAGCTGCTCCAGTTTCATGTTCATTTGACGAAGAATTAGGATTCTTGTCGCAAGAACCCATATCAGATTCATGTTTACTCGACAATGGATTAGGAATCTTCTTGCAAGATCCCACTCCAACTGCATGTGCAGCTAACGGAGAATTAAAACTCACTTTGAAAAAATCACCATGTTCAGCAGATCAACATTCAGAATTCTATTCCCAAATACCTGTATTATCTCCATGTTCAGCAGGTATTAAGTCAGCGCCTTCAGTACGAAAACCGGCATCAGATCCACGTTCAGCAGACGAAGGATCAAAATCCTCATTGCAGCAGCCATATATAAATATGAATTTTAATTCAATAAGTCTATTGCGCGAGAGGGCTCGCATGATGAATGACTCTGATTTGAAGAGTGGTGAATACTGGTGAAGCGTGGAAAGGACTTGTCAATGAGGAGAGCTGTTTTGTAGACGTTAATGAAATAAGTCCTGAAAACCAAGAAGAATAAAAAAATATTCAAGATACTTCTCAAATTCTCTCTGAAGTACTCGACCTTCAAAGCAGCGACATCGCAAACATTGATCGAAATCTTTTTATTCAGCCAAATAATAATACTCATGGCTTTTCTAAAAATTATGAGCAAGACAAACTTTTTACAAAAAAGGATCCACACGCTGAATTGTCAACGCCAAATTCAAAAGAAGTTATTTTCTCGAGTACGCCATTAATCGACCATAATTATTCGAAATTATTATCAGATGAAGAAGTATCGACTGAATTTCCTAAAGGTGACCAACAAAATTTGAATCCAAAATGTAACAAGAACAAACCTGCGAAAGTAGGTTTCTATTTTCAATCATATCCACAAATACGATTTCTCAACGAGAGATTTGATAATGGAGGAAAAAGAGGTTTTCTTTTGAAGAATGGGCTAAAATTAGGAATCATAAAAGTTGGTAATATTGCTGTGGATCTTCAAAAAACTTGTGGGTTTGATGCCATCATCCATATATTGCAATTTGGTGCACTTTATGATTCTCGATATCATTTTTCTATACAGTCATCGAATAATCGCGCATTAAAATTTGTATGCAAATTTATGAAGATGGGCCCAACTATGGAAATACTTCGTGAACGCATTGTCCTTTTAAATGAATTTTATCCGATTGTAAAAGATCCTGAAGCTCCATCTATCAAACTGCACAAGTTGATTGCAGAAGACTCGATTACTCAGATATGGAAGAATCTCTTTTGTTGT